GAATGGCTGCGTTGGAACAGCGGAATATTTAATTGGCCGACTTTATCACCATTACTGTAGCCACTGACTGTCTGCCAGCCCAATTATGACGGGCCTATGTGCTGGCCAAGAGTAAAAAGTGCAACAGCTGCACAGACGCTCTGTGCTGTTTAAATGCTAAAAATACCTGTCAGAGCGTCGTGTGCGGGTCATTAAATGTTCGTCTGCTTGCATGTGTACAAGAGACCGGAGCTGCTGTGAACTCCAGGTTCAAGCAGACGCGTCCGAGATCGTTAAGGTGGATTTTTTTTGAAGTACTTTTGTTGTTGTACACAATGCAAGGTGACCTGGTCCCTTTCGTCCTCATTAGCCAATTGTAAACTCCCTTAGGCGACAAATGAAGAGAGACAGTCGCACACATATAAAAGTCCCCCAAACCAGTGTCTCATCAGTGCTTCAGGGGCCTGCAGCTCTTTGAATATATGCATGTGTGTGCAGTTTATGGGCAGATATGTTTTTCTGATGGAAACAGCATTACTCCTCCAGTGATGGAGTGGGGATGCCCACCTGAGCTGGTGGATCTCAGCAGCTCCCCTTTGCCTTTTCTTCAGCTCCACTTTATCTTCATAAGAAGCAAGTTGGAAAGGGTTAATTCAATTCCCAGCAGGCTGTGGCTGGGAACATTTACCATCTCTCTCGCTTTCGCTCCCTCTCCTCCCTTTCTCTTTGTTTCTAGAGTCTAATTACTTTTAGAGAGTGGCTTTACTCGGGCTATAAATAATGACAAATCAAGGCTGTCTCTGCACTGAACCTTTAGAGCCGTGCACGGCTGGCTATCTGTGTACTTGAAGCGATAGGACGGTTGTGGTCTGCGCAACTCGTGTCGGCTGAAAAGTCGATGCTGGGTTTGGGTGTGAAATTTGCATGAGAGTGGGTATCGTGGGCGGAGAGCGGCAGCCGAAAGATGATGGAGACCACAGGGCAAAGAAAATCTCGTCATTTCTGATTCATTCTTACAGAAAGGCTCCGCAGGTTTGTCTTTGCTGTCCAAAGAGACCAAAATATAATCAGTGTATGAAAGTTATGAATTCTTCCGTGATACTAAACGTGTACTTGTGTTCAGCATTCAGCTGCTTCGCCACCTTTTATAAAAATGTAACTATTTTTGTCTTTGTTTAGTATTTAGATGAATAATCTACAGTAAATGGCTGTATTTCACACACACA